ACCACAACTCTGTAGACAACATAAATTTGGCAGGCATTCAATAAATCCTGAGAAACAATTGCTCTTAGCTATCTGGATGATAGCTACTCCAAATTCCTATAGATACACACATGTACTGCATGCATATTAATTACAATAGTTGTAAATTTATATTACCATTATTTAACAAATGATTTGTTTAGGTGTGTTTCTGATAGATTCAATGTAGGTAAAGGTACAGCCTGGCGAATTGTGCAAAAAGTAGTTAATGCTTTATATGAGCATGTAACAAAGTTTATTCGTTAGCCGACAATGGAAGAGGCAGAACAAACCATAGAAAGGATAAATAAAAATTATGGTTTCCCAGAAGTCATTGGTGCAATAGATGGGACACACATTAAAATTGCTGCACCAAGGAATCACAGTGATTCATATATTAATCGAAAAGGATATTATTCTATTCAATTGCAAGTAAGTTATTAATCTTATTTACCAAGTCTTTTATTCTATAGTAATTTATTGTAGAATATAATCTTTATTATATAACTATATGAAATATTTTCAATGTTTTATACTTATAATTTATATGAACACATATTTAATATAAAAATATAAAATAACAAAGCAAATAAAAGAACAAGAGAAATAATATAACTTTCCTGATAACAAAATGATGCCAATTTGCGCGCAAATTGGCAGCAAACTCGATCAGATCTGACTACAAAACCGTAGCCATCTGCGTTCGCATTTGGCTATGGATTTGACGACATTTGCTAATATATTTTGCAGAAGATTGGTGGCAAAAACCGAACAATCTCTGCTGACATGATCTGACATGTCAGCAGACTTTGTTAGCAGTTTAGCAGCAGTTTGTTGACAATATCTGATAATATAGACTCTGTTTACAATTTGTTGCCAATCTGCAATCAAAAATTGTCAGCAGGCTCTGCTCCAAATCTGTTTCTGCAGACTTTACTATCAGGGTTATATTATTATGTATAACTCATTTTGTTTTAGGTTGTTTGTGATGCAGATTTGAAATTCATGCATTGTTATGCTGGACAGGTTGGTTCTGTACATGACAACCGTGTTTTCAGATTATCTAATATTGAAAGTATGTGTACAGAAGCCAATTTTCCTAATAATAGTTATTTACTGGGAGATGCAGCTTATTCTATATCAAAATACGTAATGGTACCATTTAGAGACAATGGCAACTTATCTGAAAGACAAATTAATTTCAATAAACGTTTATCTACTGTTAGAATGATGATTGAACGAGCCATAGGTTTATTAAAATGTCATTTCCGAAGTATTTTAGATACTCTTCCAATGCTTAGAACGGATTTAATTCCAAAATATATAATCTCCTGCTGCATTCTCCATAATATCTGTTTATTAAAACATGATATAATTGATATTCCTATTATTATTAATGAATCTGATGTTATACGAGAACAGGCAACAATTATTGAAAATAATGTTCAAAACGAGGGTATTGACAAAAGAAATGCTATTATGTATTCCCTGCAAAATGTTTTTTAAATGTATAAATATATATTTAAAAAAGTACAAAAATAAATTCATTGTTGTATTTATATGTTCCTGTCTATTAATATTTCAATTAGTCACACACACAACACATCCTATCCAAGAGATGTTAAACGGAGGTGCTCTATGGGATATATTTGCAGTAAATATAAAATATAAAAAGTACAATATTTTTCTCTATTATTTTAGCATGTTTATTATATTGTGAAAACATATTTCAAAACATTTCAAATTTAGAAGTATAAACTAAAATAAAAACTTTACTACGTTATAAGTATTTATCACTATTCATAAAAAAATAACTAAAAAATGTTTTGTACTGATATTATCACATAGGAACAAAATGTTCACATATCAACGCCCATAAAGAACTTAAAAAATACTTTGGTACTGATATCACAAAAACATACTTTAGATACTATTATAGTCTGGCATGTTTATATTAGTACTCTTAAAACTAGTATTAGATATTTAGATTTTTAAACATTTTAGAAATATAACACTTTAAACCTTATAATTATGTAAACATAAAAACAAAACATTTTTTTACTTTTTTTCTTGTTGTAACATTTTTTTCCACTAAATTCTCTATTCTTTTAATAGACTGCATTTTCTCTTCATGTTGCTTAGCCCTAATTTCTCTTTGATATTTTCGTTCTTCTTTACTTTGTGATATG